CCTTCGCGATGCTTTCGGGAATAGGGCACCGCGTTGGCTTGGAGCATCTTCTCATGCTGGTGACGATGCAAGAAGATTGCTGGGTGGCGGTGGATAGCCAGGCGATGAAAACACTGATCACAGAAGAGACGAAACACAGAAGAAACGAAACTCACATGTGATCGGAAGCAGAGAATCCCCCATTTTAGAGCGGTCCAAGTGAGAAGTTAGCGAGTCTTCCCTGGCGGTTCGAACAATAATACATCGAACATCCCCCGACGAAAGCTGCAAACTCAAATTGAACAACAAAGCAACTTCCAACGCCAATGCCAACCCATCAAGGCTCGACAGGATGGTCAACACATCTCGTTATTGCGCTGTCAGAGCAGCTGGGCTCTAAGTGTCTTCCGAGACAGCCCGTACTGTGAAACCCGATCCGAAAGGCTAGTCAGCGGCTAGTCCCTCAGGTTGCTTTTCGAGAGCCCTTCTCTTGGAACAAGACTCTGAGAGGGTAATATCAAGCCGGCCTCGTGTCTTTGCTTCCGCTCCTCACGGATCCGATCGAAGGCCTTTTGGCACTTCCGAGCCGCCTGCTTTCTCTGTGTGTGTGTGTGCGCATGTCTGTCGGTTTGCGCACCCACGATCACCCAATCCCCCACACCTCAGCGCAATACCCAACAGCCCCAGCAGCCGCAACAGCCAAAGAACCTTCCCCTCCACAAGTCTTCCCTGGACCTGGCCTTGGCGATCTCCTGCATGGCTTCCCTGTTGAGCTCTGCTTTGCAGTTCATCTGCTTGATGGCCTTTCCGGACTTATGGGCTTCCGGGTGTCAAATTTACACTTACGCATTCAGATTTCGGGCTCTCGATTCCCGCCCGGATGTTTGAGGGTTTTTCTGCCTGTACGGTGTAGCGCTTCTTGGGATTGGGATGTAGCGTCGGTCGGCCTGCACAGCTTCCTGGAACATCGCCTTCAACTCGGTCTTGTGCCGCTCCTCCGTAAAGCTTTGAAGCAGCATGGAACACACCTCGGCTCTTGCCAAAGAGCACTCTTTGGAATCCATCGAGCACCAATGGTTGGGTCCGGACCGGGTCTTGAAACAGGTAAGGTAAGTGCGTCTCACTTCATGGCTATGCGGAACTCTAGCACAAACTTCTGTGAGGCATTTCGCACGGCCGGCGCTGATAAGTCATCTGAAACCAGGGATGCTACCGACTCCAAACCTTAAAGAAACAGCTTGCTAAAACGTCCATGGCGCATGCGAAGCCTTTTCTGCCACTGCTTCCTCCAAGACTACGCCCCAAGCTGCGGCGATGAGGACAGAGGTTGGCCACTGGAGTATCGCATTCCTTGTAAATCTTGATCGAGGCATGTTGTAGCTGTGGCTGCCGTGCCAATACGCAGAACAGGACTGCTCAACAAAAGGAAACCCAAAAACAACTTGTTGACAGCCGGCTGAGCTGCTTCCCTACGGCAGTGCCACCCCTCCATGCTTTCGACAGTAGTACGGCCGATACCAAATCATGATTCCCAATCCAAGGCCCAGGTTCGTGCTGGCGCAGACATCTATGACCAGCGCCTCAGCCTTCTTTATGGCCTCCTCAAGCTTGCCAACACTACGATCACGGCTGGAATTTGTGCTTCCCATGTCATGCGAAAGTAGGCTACAAGCCTGGCCATAAACAGTTCGTGGCAGGCAGCATGAGCCGTTTGCAGACTTCGAGCTGCCGAGGAGCAATATGTATAAACATACACCATCACGGACCTACGGTAATGCAATGAAATGTCGGCAGAACTGTATACAACGGACCTAAATTCCACCGTAGCATGTAGGATAGACTCTGTGCAAGCTAAAACTTCTTTGTACTACCCAAGACTGTGACGTCTGTGGGATGAGTGGGATGGTAGACGTTTCGCACTGGTACGAACCACGCGTGGGAAGATCCAACAGCTTCTAAAAGCATGAGGCCCGTATGATACCACTACGAACTCAGCCTTACATGCCGCTTTACTTCTGTCGGAAATCTTTCGGAGCCAGGGCTCGCTGGATTTAGGGTTTGAACCAGCTTTTTGTAGAATCTCAGCTGTCTAAAACGAAGGATCACAGAGCACAGCCAGCAAAGGAGTCCTCGAGATCGGCGACTTTGGACCACTTCTCCTCCTCCTGACCCGAGGGCAGCAGCGAGCCAGGTCCAATTTAGGGCCTTTAGGACTTGGGATTTAGGCCAGTACAGATGCTTAAACTGTTAAACTTTAACGTGGTTCGTGGTTGTGGTGAAGAAGCAGACTGCAGCCACGATGAAACTCAAAAGACTCGCGCCTGCGAAGCTGTGAACACTAGGAAGATGCTTCCAAGGGCTCGGAAGCAGCCTAAGAACTAAGTCCTAGTGCTGTTTGCTTCTGCAGGTCCTCCGCCAAGATTTGCAGAGAAGGGCGAACCTCTGGCTTCGGCTATGGGAATCTTCACACCAGGACCCTTTGCCGGCCTGGGGCACGATACATCCCAGAGCCCCGCTGCTCATTCGGATTTGTCTTGCAACTAGCTACTATATTTTCTCTTGACAATATCATTACAGAATTTCTTCCTGTGGCTGCTTGACATGAGCATCTGTGCAAACTCCAGATTTCCTGCTTTTGGAGTTGGGCCTGTATGGCAGCATCTGTAGCCTCTGCTATAGTTTCTGCCGCAACGTCTTGGGTTCGAAACTGTGGAAGCGGCACTTGGACTTTCAGGTAGTTGCTCTGGTGGCACTCACGCACGTCAGGAACAGAACATACGACAGCCCCCTAGCTGGTTGTTACACCATAGAACTCGGTCCTCAGAGGGAGAACCCAGAACCCGGAAGGATTGTGCCGCATCTATTGTAAGCTCCCGCAAATCCCCGACAAACTGAAACCTGAAACCCCACGCCTCACATCCCCCTCGAACGCCGACACCATAAACAACCGATCCTTCGGATTCCTGCGGTACGACGAAGCCAACAGAAAGCTTCTTTCTGTCAAGCCGAAGCCTTTTTCGAAGTGTTTCGGCGCCTTTAAAAACCCTAGGCAGCCGTACGTAATATCGCAAAACAACCGTCGGTAACCCCATGTAAACTTCCCGGAGAACTCGGGCCTTCGGCTCAACCAGAAGCTCGAAGTCTAAGGCCTGCAGAAGCTCCAGCTCCTCGGCTCCGTCGTAGACCTCCCTTTCTTGTTAGATACTAATACTCACAATTTCTGAAGTTTCATGAAGATTTAGTCTTTAATGCTAGATTCAAGTCATCTCCTTCTTATTATTGCTGTTGCTCTGACAGGGGAATCGTAGGGCTTCGTTGCTGGTATTTGGCTGTTACGGTTGCTGCAGGCTTGCTTTTGCGTTGATGCTTGCTAATCTCTGATACTTATTGCTCGTTGCCCTGCTCCTGCTGACTCTTGTGGCTGTTGCTGCTCCTGTTTCTAGAGGTGTTGGTGTTGCGCTGTTGCAATTTTTGTTGGCGGTGGTACTAGGTCTACCGGCAAGGCCTTGCGTTTGGCTCATGTTTGCGAAGCTTGTGCTTCATGTCTGTAACCAGCTCTTTGTGATCTACATGAAACAGTGGCTTCATGCATAAACTCCGAACACTAACACTCACACGAGATAACGATTATGGTACATGGGCGTTCTTCTCTGCGTGTATGTCTATGCCTGTATGCCAAGGGACCGTACGTGTACGAATATTCATATACTTCTTTCCTGCGGGGCTTTGTGGGTACACGCGAGGCGAAACTTCGCAGGTGCTCCTAGGTGACGCAAAGGGGTGTACAGGTACGAATATGTCTCTTTGTTAAATTTGGCCGTTGGGTGACAGCTGTTGATATGAAACCAGAAGTAGGTTCTCGAGCAAAACAGGGCTCCAGATCGGTGACCCTCGGCCGCATCTGCTCTCCCATGCCACCCTCCTGGAGCATCTTCTCTAAGGTGAGGTCACGGAACTCTTCCACCTGAACCCACTGCACACGCCCTCCTGATGCTGGGTCTTGCGAGTATACCGGACGGTTACTCCTAGTCTTCTGCCTATTGTGGTTCTCGTTATGGCACCCTACACGAGGGATCTACAGCCGACTTGCGCACCTTGCAGGCAACATGCAGGCAGGTGAACATCATGGTCACTGGATCGAACTCCATGGGTGAATTCGCGCTGAAGAACCTGTCAGGGAAGGGCATTGTTAGGGTGTGTATGTCCCCGAGAGTGGAAGTGGGCCTGAATGTGATGGGTCTCGTCAAGCCTAGCAACTCCTGAGACCCCATATGAGAGGAGAATTTGCTCTTGGGGACCCGGGCTTCGATCAAAAATGGCTAGCAGGCCTGCTGTAGGTGTTTTGGTTTTGAGTGTGCAGAGGCTTGTTTTCTAGAATGAGGTTCTGGGCCGCAGAAAAAGCTTTTCCCTGCCAATCAGCAAATGAATGATTTTGCGGATTCTCCCAGCGCTATAGTCAGAACTGTGTTCGGGTTTCGGGTTCTCATTGTGTTTGGTTCACAACCCAACCTCTTGAAGAAGATCAGCGACGTCCACAGCACCTCCTGCGGAGCAGAGCACAGACCACAAAGGTCCGGCAGCTTCTGGGCGTAGAAAGCCTGAGCGGTTCCAGCAGGGATTTTGCAAACTCCCAGGTCGCTCGATGCTTCGCATCTAGATCCTCATCGCATCATGTGCCCTATTCAAACTTGAATGCTGTTTCTCTCTCCACTGCACGAGCCAAGGCACAACAAGGTTGCAGCTTTCCTCAGTGGTGGCACCGAACATTATTATTCTAAATGTCTACCAGAAATGACACAGGTTTCCAGCTTGTAAAGGCTTGAGGAATTTGCCCTGGAATCTAGACCCCCGTACCAATATCCAGCTCTGGAGCCTTACACTCATGCACATCAAGATTTTGCGGTTCGTCAGTCCGACTCCGGCCTGCAATCTGCTCAAACATGACAGTCATGCGCGAGAGCCTCCAGACTTGGAGTGGAATCAACTTGGGCTCTTACACACCCCAAGGCGGACCAAAGCTAAGGCGGCCCAAGTTCCTTCAGGTTCAAAGGTCTGGGCTCTGCCTGAAGCACACGGAGGCCCTGCTCTCGGAGGGTCTGGGCCGCACGCTCGTGCGCCGCCTCGTGGCTTTGGTCCAGAGCCTCTCTGGTGAAGAGGTACCTGAGAGGCTCAACAAATCTTACAACATGCTCACACCGTAACAGAGACAATCAGGCAAATCACGACCACGTGCCACCTACTCTTTGCCATGTTTGAGATGCGAAGTTGCCCCGCATGTCGAACATTTACGAAAGTCAGGAGAAACGCGACACCAAAAGTTCCAATCCCAGCGACTATTCGCGTTTGTTTTCATCGCGGTGACGATCCCATCCTGCGAAAACGACGCCTGTCACGAGGATCGTGGCCGGGCCCTATGTTGTGGCAGAAAGCCCGGGAGGCGGCGGCCTGGCGGGATGTGCTGGGGTGGAGCAGCCCGGGACCCGGGATCATGTATGCATGTATGAGTAAGTTATGTAATTTATGTAAGGTACGTACTGTGTGAATGTATGTCTGTATGTCTGTATGTCTCTGTGTCTGTGTATGTATGCACGTGTGTCTGGAGTGTTCAGAGGTCTGCAGGTCTGGACGTCAGTCTGTATGTCTGTCTCTGTCTGTAATGTGTATGTTTGTGTGTGTATGTGTATGTGTATGTGTGTGTGTGTGCGCGTGTGCGGGCGGTTGTGCCGCGCGGTTGTCGACTCGTGCATTTGTAGGAGGGTTTCCACAAATCCATAGGTGGCTGGGTGTGTCGCGTGGGCGTGCGGGCGCGTCCCTCTGTTTTTTCGGTGCGGGCGGAAATGTATGTACATGGATTATATTAATATATTGATGCGATGCTGTACCATGTGGGGCTGGGCTCGGAACCAAGCTTTTCCGCACGGCCCCGGGGCGAGGTAGGGCAACCGTGGTACGCAACATTCGCGAAGACATAACTAAGGGTTCAAGGGAAGCAGATTCGGGTGTCTTGCTGCGCCAAGGCACTGGTAATGTCTCGGGCCCTCGTCGTCCATGGCTTCGACCCAGCTTCTCCCCCTGAAAATCCTCGAACACCCACAACTTCTAGATGTGTTCAAGGCAAACTGCTGCATAAATTGTGCGCTTCATTAGACCGTGTAGTCAGAGTGTTCAGTGCCCAAGGTGTCGACCGTTGGGTTGGGTAGAACGCTTAGTTGTAAGTTTTTTGGCTTAGATGTGACTTATGAGCTTGTCAACAAAACATCTTAGTTGTAACTTTTTTCGTCTTAACAAACAGCGAATCGCTGCGGATGGTGGCAAAACACGCTCTGAATAATGAGGTTGTTTTGCTCTATTGCGGAGCCTGCTGGGTTCCTCCTCAGGGTTCTGGTCTTTCGCAAAAGATTCGTGCTTCCTAATGGTTCATGTTGGGGCCAAAGGTTCATGCGGGCTTGATGGGTTGTCGTTTTCGGGAAGAGGTTCCTGCTGGGTTT